GTCTCGTCTCTTAAGCATCGCTATCTGCTCGACGAACTTGACCGGGTTCGCGACGCGCTCGTCCGCATCCGCCTCGTCGGCTCCCTGATTTACGAACATGGTTCTGCGAGGTCCCAGGCGGCACATTTCGCCGTTTCCGTCGATGTGAAAATTCACGTTCGCTTGTCGCGCCTGGTCCCGCGCGTAAGGTATGTGTTCGTGTCTGAGCGTGAAGTGACAACAGGAAATCTGCCTCCTGACTTGCTCCCACGAGTCCATCGTGATCTCGGTTTCAAAATAGCACTCGGGGCACTCTTTGGTATCCACCGACAGTTCTGGCATGAACGGATACCTTAGCATTATTATGAAAAAGCCCTGTAACAGGTCCAGCGTTGCCACGGTCTCCTCTATGGAGCAAGTCACAAAGTCCTGCAGTAACGCTCTGTAGACGTCCACGGCCGCCGACAACGTGATCGGTTGAGCTTGATCCGATAGCATGAAGTGAGATCTCTCTAGCGCTTTGATCGTCAGCCACAGCGTGTACTCGCCGACTTGTTTATCCGTCGGTTGCTCCGGAGTACGCGCGGAGGACTTGGGTTCGCTGTAGGACGAGGTGAAATCCATCAGCCTGGGGTCGATCGTTCCCGTTATTCTGCCTCGACAGGCCACGTCGTAAAGCTCTAGCGTGGTCGACGGAGCGTTCGAAGCGCACACTCTATCGCCCCCGGAGTCAACTTGTCCGCTATCGACCGTTTCCTCTCCCATTCGGCGAGACACAAAGTCAGGCCCATCCATCGCGGGTCCCGCGAACTCGTAGGGTGTTTCACGTCACCTCGTTTGGCGAGATGCGGCCAATGTTGCATCAGTTTGCTGTACAGAGACACGCCGACGTGGCATAGGAAATCCGTGGGGCACGGACAGTTGCTGAACCTTGACGTTATACCCCTAGGTAGAGCCACGTTTCTGATTTCAGTCTCTAGCGTTTCGGGTAGCCGCTTGAAGGAGTACGCCACAATTCCCCTTCGCTTAATACGAGGCGTTGTCACCACCACGACACGGTTAATGCCTCTGGCGATTGCTAGGGCTTGCTCGCGACCTCCCGGCGTAACAACTGCGACTCTTCTGCACGGGGTGCGGGC